TGTCATTGCCAGATCATGATGTTATAAATATATGAAATCACTTTAAATCTTTAAAGTGATAACTGAAATATTTGATGTTAACAAAAATCATAGGAAAGCAAAATTAAAGATTTTTGTTTTCTAGATGATATAAATAAGACGTCTTAGTATTTTTGTTATTTATAAAAATCCTTCTAGTTACATTTTACGATAACAAAACTACTAATCTGATATCGATATTTTTATGGGCAGGCCACCTTCCTATAAAAATATCGATATCAGCATGCCTATAATCTGTCTACTAAAAAAGAATTTAGAAAATACGAGTATGTATACAATTTACGGAGAAATCGGAGAACATACTTAAAAAAATACGTACGCGTTTAATTTCCTCTTCCTTTTTTATTTTGAAGTCTATTTAAAAAGATAATACCTTTAATTACAAGAATATAAAGAAAAAAAAAGTGAATTTAAGGGTAAATCTTTTTTTGGTTTTCTCTTTTTTATATTTTTCAATAGCAGCTTATTGAGACGTTATATTTTTATTTTTTATGCTTGCTCTAAGCATCTTACAAATTACCGTCTGGGAGAAAATAATTGATGCAATATTGATCTCAGACTATAATTAAGAGAAGTATAGTGTACTTATCTTAATTATAGTATATTATTACTAAGAAATTATGTTATGCATAGAATTATAAATTAGCAGACCTCTGTTCTAATCAACATTGGCAAATAAGACTGACATTCGTTTTGTTTTCTGTTGCTTTTTCATTTGTACATTGAATAATAAATAAGATAATGAAATATTAAAAATGTTTTATCTTTGAACCATTTTGGTAAGGTAAATTAGACTGTAGGAAAATGTTTTTCTACAGTCTAATTTGGATCGCTGGTTCGTTGGATTGCTTGGTTTGGATGCAGCTATTGGATGTTGTGTAAAGCGCTAACCCGATTTTCATCATTATCTATTAATACACTGCTGGAACTCAGGCTTTCCCCATGGATGGAATCGAGTTAAATCGAATAGGGAGTATAGACCCACCACGCTTCGGCATGAATGGGCCGGCTCGACCGGAGTGATACCACAGCCTCACAGAAAACCGACGTGAAGCAACGCTTGCATTGTGTTTCGCCGTGTGTGTAAGGGTACCGGAGGCCCAACCCCTCCCTATTCCCTTCCCTCTACCCCTCAACCCTTCCCTCCCTATGATCATATTCGTCCCTCAAAGGCCGGCAGCGCGCTTGTAGCCCCTCTGGTGTTGCAGGTGTCCATGGGCGACGGTAATCACTTACCATCAGGTGATCCGTCTGCTCGTCTGCCGCCTATCCCATAAAAATACGGGCCCAGCACCGATTGGTGGCTATTAACGACTGCAGTCTCGACCGACGGCTTTACGTGCCTTCCGAAGCATCTCGAGATAATATGTTTTTATTTACTATGATTGGCCATTTCGAAAGTTGCTGAACAACTATACCGCAGACTGGGTGCGCTAGCCACTGCGCAATAGAGATCTTCGTCCGATTTTATCCCCTATTCCATATATCCCTACTAGCAAATCCCCACTGGTAGGGATTTTTGGATATTTTTTCCAATTATAGCTACCGGAATCGGTGGAGATATGTGGAGTAACAAATTCCATATATCCCTACCGGTAGCTATATTGGAAAAAATCCAAGTATCCCTACCAGTGGGGATTTGTCAGCAGGGATATATGGAATAGGGGAATTTTATTCTTAAAACTCGGTAAATTATGTCAGAAATAAAAGGCAATAAAATTAATAAACTTATTATTTACGAGATTATATCAACATCAGTCTTTAATATAATCAGAAAAATAAAATAAAAGGCAATAAAATTAATAAACTTATTATTTACGAGATAATATCAACATCAGTCTTTAATATAATCAGAAAAATAACATAATCGATGGTTTCTAATTTCACCTTGACCTCCGTGCTTTTTCTGTGTATTAAATGGATAACAATGTCATCGATTTTATGTAATGAATAGAACTTATACATTATCTGTTATTTTAATATAATTTAAAGTTTGTTATTCTTATACTATATTTTACAATATATCGCACGGATAATATATTGGATTAACATTATTATAATGTTGACCTTTAATGCACTAGTTGTTTCATCATTACTTCAATAGTTATAATTTGTATATTATAGATACTATTATATTTGTATTTAATAATAATAATATATATATAGGTTCATATGTGCATTTATACTTTGTGTTTAGGCTTCTTAAGACACCAAAAGCTACCTAAATCTAATAATTATCTGTCCATTTTATAACGCTTATCTGGAAGAAATTACTATTTAGTGATATGATTGCCGATTGTATCGTATAATTTAATGCACCCATATATTTGTTATGATATACAATAAAGTATATCTCATTCATTAATAATTAAGAGGATTCAGACTGACATGCAGATATTTAAAATATAAATCGTTTAAAAATTCGTGTCGCTACAAATGTATTCCGAATAATAAAAATGAAGATTGTTTAAATTATAATTAATATCGAAAGTACGGTAAGATATTTTTTAAAGAACTAATACAGATTATCTTAAAGAAACCCTTCTTTAAGTATATTTTGAAAATCGCTACGAAAAAATATCGTCATCAAAAATGCATGTGTTAATGAATTGATAAGACCGAGGGCGGTGCTTATGCGTATGCCGCCCGCCCAACGTGTATAAAAGCTCGCGTCGCCGGTACGCCGGCACAGCGCGCCGTAGCCTTCCTTCCATACACGCTTTCACAGATCACAGCAAACAAACAAGTAAGTGACAATAAATAATTATACCCACAAATTATTTTTTCCACAAAAAAAAACTTGCACTTATAAAGATAAATAGTAACGCTGTCTATACATAATTGCAATGTAATACGAGTGTTTTATTGTAAAATAAAATAAAATAATAAAAATCGTAAGTTTATAATCTGTCTCATTTAGTTATATACTGTTACAGGTTTAGGTTACAATTATTATCGAGATCGTTTTTATTTGTAGTAATATTTACTACAAATATACGTCTTACTGTTGTCCACCAAAACATTTTCTTACATTTGCATTATTTGCGTCCATTATGGGCGTGAATTTAACAACAAACTTTCCGTTAAAACATGAAATATTTATTCAAATGAATCCTACAGCCTCAAAAGCTATTTACAATGGCTTTGAAATGTTTTTCAATTGTAATTATAATAAACTTTAGAATACAGTAAACGATAAGGACGTTAACTCTTCATAATTACCTAACTGTATGTAAGTCGTTGGCTTTAAAATTTCGATTTCGAATATGTTTTGGTTTTAGTATTTGTTTATGATTCTATAAGGCTTTAGGCCAACATAATTACTTAGATATTATAAAAAACAAAAACCGGTCCCGTTCGAGGCGAACGAAGCAGCCCGTACCATTTGAAAAACTAAAAAAATGTTTTTTTACTACTTATCTTTATAGTGCCAATAGAAATGAATCATATGTAAAAATTGGCCTGGTGACAGATAGACGAACGGACAGCGGCGCTTTAGTAATAGGATCTTAATTAACCATTTTAGCACGGAACTGTAATAAATGAATACGATGAATAGTTAATTTAGAATTCAATTAACTAAGCTTTATGCCATTAAGTGGACTAGCTGTGACACGTGTCACTAAAAATAAGTTGACCTCATGTTTATAATTCTAACAATTTCCGTGCTAAATATATATCCAGCATTGAAACCACAATCAACTGGATATGGGGATAATAATATAATCGATTGCACGTGTATAATTTCGTCTAAGGACGAACAGAAGTTTCTATTTTTGTCTACATTATTTATTCAAATAAAAAAATAGGTTCAGAAACTAAAACCCGACTACAGTAACGCTCTAAAATGTTTGAAACAAGTAATTTATTTTATAGCGATAGCTATATTATAATAGCGATGACCAAAGGACAGCGTAGTGATATGCCATTGATATTCTGTGGCATTTTTTATAGTTAATTTTCGGGTATATTTAAACAAAATCGCTAGCAAAAGCGAAATGTGCTAATTAAGCCTTTTCATTTGAACACTGAATTATTGAATAATATAGTTTCTTACTTTATACTTTCTAGAGGGCGCTGTTGGCAATTTAATGTAGTTACGATGAGTACAGCTGAACTTTCTTACATACGTACATACCGACCAAAATCATAACCCTTCTTTTAGCTTCGCCGCCATAGTCGGGTAGCAAAGTCATAATTGAGTCCAGGTCAGCGTGTCATATTTGAAAACAAAATGGCTTTATACAATTATATTTGTTCATGATAAAGATTGATTTTCTGGTTTTAAATTTATTCGTTATTAATATTAAATTTGTACTATGACTACAATAACTAATGGTTTTTCGTTATTTTTAGAATTTACTTGTTCGTAACTACACAGCCTTTTTTTCAAAAACAAAAAAGAATAAACAACTAGTATAAATATTAAATGTCAAAAAATTATATACCAGATTTCAAATTTAGAGTTAGAAAAATATTGCTTTCGGCTTTTTGGATGTATGCCTGAATATTGATGATAAAAACGCTCTGTAGTAATGAAAAAATAGCGTGCTTGAAAAATTCGTCAATCCTGTTAGGTTAGGCGGAGTCCCATCACAGAGCGCCAGGGACAAGGTGGAATTTTTAAGCATTCATCATTCAGAATATTTTTCAGTATAGCTTTGTGAACGAAAATAATATCAAATATAATAATCAGAATTTATTATAAGAGCTGCGCCTAAAATATAAGAACACGTATCTTAATAAGTTAATATAAATTTGAATATTGTTGTTTTGTTTCAAACCAAATTAATTCAATCTGAAATCAATCTTTCCCCGAAATTAGGGAAAAGCTCAAAATGTATTTTACTGTTAAGCTTATGGAAACGTCAATTAAATTTTATAATAAATAAATATAAGTTTATTAAATAGAATATAAGAAAACATTGGAATAACATTTGTTAGTTTTTCCAGATCCAATAATGCTCCAAATTAATGGTGTCTTGGCGCTGGCTGTCACAGCATTGCTAGTTTGCTGCGCCGCCGAACGACGACAGGTAGATTATTTTCTAATTTTTCTATTTGACAGCATTCGACAATGCTTCTTTTAAAAGAAACAGAACACAAAAATCACCAAACTGATCATTCGGATTTTCGGGGAAGCATTTAGTCCAGTAATGAACGTTTTCAGGATAAAAATTATTAATACAAAAAATCTTTTTTAAAACAATCTTGTATAAAAACAATTCAGACGAACCCAAAATCCGATATGATAATCCGATATCCGATACAAAGTTCCCCTGGCTACCTTCCATTTCCATTATCAGACCCTGGATTTTCATCATCATCTGCGCTTTTACGTCCCCACTGCAAGAGCTCAAGTCTTCCTTATTGATGGTTAAGCAGGATGAGCCATGACCCTCCACGCAAGCCCAACGTGGGTTGGAGAGCATTTACGTCTGTTAATGCAGCCGGATCCGACTTAACGTGCCGTCCGAAGTACGGAGTAGCTCAAGATAATTTTTATTTTGGTCACCCATCCCGTGGCCGATCTATACAAATGTTGCTTATCACCAACGATCGTGAAACTTGAGGGGATTGCTCCGTTTAATTACAGGGGTCCGTTTAACTTCCTGCTCCATCATCATATCAGCTTTATAGACAGCTTTGCTATAAACTTTGTATAGACAGATCAAACGAGCCGAAACTCGACAGAATTATGCTATCTAATTACAACGATCCCTTGGCTACCTTCCAGTGCCCACGTCAGACCCTGGATATTCGGATCAAAGTCTTTATCAAGATAAATCTAACGAGCCAAAGCTCTATAGGATTGCTTCGTTTAACCTTTCGTCTCCATCATCATATCACCCCCATTCCATTAATAAGCTACCTGAGGCAATTAAAACTCGCGTTGTACTAAGACCGTGGCCGTAAAATCTCGTGCTTAATAGTGCGACAGCGGACCTCATTGCAACGTGGGTCTTAATTGGCGCAGATAACTTATTGCATTGTCATTCAAGTGTTTGATCCACACTAATATGACAGTTAATTAATAGCTTGAAAATAAACTTCGAAAGCAATTTACTTTCAAATAATCAAATTAATAGTTATGTCCAAATAACAAGTTGTTACCATTTATTATTTATAACCAAGCCTCTTACAGAAACAATTTTACTTAAGTTTTAATACATTCGTTGCGTTGCCCTTTGAAGCAGCCACGCGACGCTCCTTTAGCATACCCTTTTAAATTATGTTTCATATTAGTGATAAGGTTGCCCCTTGTTAGAATTTTTGTTTAAAATTTATGAGGAATGACACAGTTTTAAGGACCGAATTAATGTATTAATGTAGCAATTAGAAAGGCTGCGAAAACACTTTTATAATATTGCACGAGCTCAAGGTACTGTAACGTGCGTGCACATTACTGTAGGTAGGTTTACATTTTTCCTTTCGAATTCGCGTGGTCATGTTTTGCGTCGTGGTTAATAATCTGATCGAGACCGGCATTGAGTCAATATCTTAGAATTTACTTTAAGTTATTTGATTTGATATATGATTTGCTAATAAAATAGAGAGTTTGGAAAATTACACCTAGAATTTCATTGAACAATCTTGAGCTACTTTTTATCCCACCTTGGAGTACCTGTCAGTTTTAAGAGTGGACGCCCTAGTAGACCTACATTTTTCCTATCCTTTACAGAAACCGAACACCTGAACCCTATTGATATGAATTTCAGGTGATTTTTTTACTTTCGAAACCCTTTAATTGGTCACTAGCCTAAGTTCATTCATTAAGCGAAGCCAATTCCAAGACTAGAATCAATTATAAGTTGTATCACTTTCAATTAGTAACTTGGTAGATCCACAGATACCATCACCCTACAATTATTAAAGAAATGACTCAATTAATAAGTCGTCATTATGTACAGCAAGCCTTAAAAATAAGGATCTTCATTACTTATTATTATCATAAATATTTTTTTCCTAATTATTTTTGGTAGTAATCTAATCTAATACGGTATATTTGAACTTGTAACCATGTCTGTTGCACCTCATTACATTTGTATTGATAAGCATAGAATACTGCTAAGAATAATACTTCTAACAGATAAAATAACAAACTTCGTCATTATGTACCTGAGCAAAATTAACATTCGTGGGTATCAGAATATTAATCAAGTTTAAGGAAATACCGATTCAGTTCTCAAGGAGACAGTTAAGATCCCAATCGAATTTCTAATACTTGTTCCAAATTGGTTTCAATATAACTGAAATAAATTTCCCTTCATTTGTTTATTTTATATTAGTTTATTCGTAAAAAATGTTTCTATTAAAAATGATTAACATAATAATATAGTGGCTTTTAGAGTATACCACATCGCTTGTTATATGAGCTTATGAAATTGGCCATTACCTACCACGCGGGCCCAGCGCTGAAAGGTGGATGTTAACGACTGCTGATGCAATCGGGACCAAAGGTTTAACGTGCCTTCCGAAACACACAGGAGCAAGATAATAAACCCATCCTATAACCAGCCCTTGCGAAAGTTGCTTAACAACCGTATCGCAGACCGAGCATGTTAATCACTGTGTTATCTAGGTTCTCTAGAATATATACTTTTGTAAAAATCATTTTAAATATGAGCATTCTCTATAATCAGGACTCCGAGGGAATCGATGGAGAGTCGGTGGGCCGTTATGAACCCAATGGTAAGTTTAACAGGACAGTAAAAATTTGTTTAATCCATATCGAGAGATATTCTATTTCTGTCTATCTCACACTTCTTTACATTTTTTCGGACATCACTCTCGTCCTGCACTTTATTATAACTAATCGCAACTCTACTCTTTTATTGGTGATGCACTCTCCCATAATTTAAATCGCTGCACAAGAAATCGTCACAAGCTTTAGAATGCACATCTGTCACTTCTTTTTGCACCTCGGTGAGTACAATGTCATATTAATTTCCTTATAAATTATTATATGACAATCTAAAATCTATGAATTGTTCCAGTATCAAGACAAAAAGAAGAATACGAAGACTTTCTACGGTTCCTGTTCAATTATCAAAATGGCATTGACGAGAGGAACCTCGGTGGAATTGGAGGAACTTCCTTGTTAGGAAGAAATCTCGGTGGGATAGGCGGTTCATCTATGCTTGGCAGAAACTTGGGAGGGATTGGGGGTTCATCAATGTTAGGACGTAACTTGGGAGGCATTGGCGGTTCTTCGATGTTGGGGAGGAATTTGGCTGGAATCGGTGGTTCATCTTTGCTCGGCAGAAATTTAAATGGCATTGGCGGATCTTCATTATTAGGTAGAGACACCGAAGGAGACAAAAGGTACACAAGATTCGTGGATTCTCTTGGGGGCGGTAATTTTGTTCGTAATTTGGATTCAATAGGAGGAGGGAATTTCGTAAAAAAAAATCTGGACAACATCGGAGGGCCGAACCTAGTCAAAAAACATTTGGACTCACTTGGTGGTGGCAACTTCGTCCGCGAGTTAGACTCTATAGGAGGCGGTAATTTAGTTTAAAATAACAAAAAATCTTTGATAATTTCTGTTAATTGTATGAGCAACGTGTTAAATGTGATAACTAAAATAATTGTGTACTTAAATTGAACATATCTATTTCATGTGCATAGAATATAAATGGAAATAAATACTTAGCAATTTTAATGAGTGTTGATTTGATTTATACTTTCCTCTCATCTCTAATATTATCTCTGATCAAAATTGGGCGTTAATGATTATACTTAGGTATCATGGTAAAAAGGTAATCATTACTCTATTGCATTTGACTTTTTTATTAAATACTGGAAGCATCGAAAGATTATCATAATGTTTTTATAACGGAATTAGCTTTCCGTCAGCGGAATCGCCCGCGTTGACCCTAGGGAAATGTTTATAATACACATGAAAAGGTTACTATGGTAACGTTTTAATTCCCTAACAAACTACTCCCGTTTTAATCCCTTAATTTGCAGTTTCCAGGATAAAATATAGCCTATGGTTATCGCATATGTTGTAGTTTCATTGCAAACAAACAAACAATCAATCAAATCTTAAGATACCTATATTGTTCTTCGCTACCTTCACGTCCCAGTTTATGTTAGATATAAATTTCATAACATAAAGGTAAGTTAGTTAAATAAGTAGTTAAATAAATATTTTTTTTATTATATCATATTGTGGCCATAGGTGAAAGAACACAAAACTCAGATCCTGATAACGGTGGCAGTCGAGCCAGAGATTTACGAGAAACACAACATTATTACGGTTTGTTACCATACCTCATGACAAGACGACACGATCATTCTAGGTGAGCAGTAACCTATTTTTATTTAATGCTATTTAGTGATATTTATATTTTTTGTGTAATAAGCAGTGATCGGAATTAGGTAGAGTAATTCATGTACTTACACTGGTTTCATACAGCGAAAGAATAAAGTGGATATGCCTCAAATCCCGAGATTAATTTTAAAGAGCAGAAAATATCCCGTGATTTTTTAAATAAAAAGTTATTTACTTTTACACAATTTAAACTACTGCACGCACGACGTTGCCAAACTTACATCAATGAAAGAAAGAAAATATAAAAAAATCCCGGGAAGGTCCACATTAATATCAACATTTCGATGCAAGTACATAAATAACTCTACCTAATTCCGACCTCAGGTAATAAGTAACACTAAAAATACGCTTAGTCCTAGTGTCCCTGTTTATGTGGATATTGATTCATATCATGACACGATGACAGGGATATAATTACAATGACAAATTAAATAGTGAACAGTCGTTACTATGGTAACGTTTTCATTCCCTATACATTATTCTAATTTCATTTTCATCCCTTTATTTGCTGTTTTTGGAGATAAAATACAGCTTATGTTCACCGCATGTGATGTTGCTTACCGTAAATTTTTAAAATTACTCCAGTTGTTTTGGAACCTATCCTTTGCAAACAAACAAATCTTTCGTCTTTGTAATATTAGTATAGATATAGATCTACAAAAATAATTCTAATTGTTCTTATAATTTAGTTGAAACCATATCCGTGAAGATCAAGCTTATAAAAACATCGTAAGCGCCAAAATTCCAAAAATGAGGTTTTTGTACTAATCATTAGAACACTTACATTTGCGCCTTAATTATTTACTTTGAAGTCAAAAATTGCATAAACTTATTTTTAATGAAATTAATTTTTGTTTTGGTCGTAAAAAACAACCAATGAGTTTTTTGTCACTTGGAATAGAAATTAATGTAATTTTGCTTTCTGTTATTAGTTATTATTATTACATTTCAATGTTCATTTAAACTGGATATTGTTTTAGTTTTATTATAGAAACCATAGAAACATTACTTCGACAAGTTGGTAATAGAAATGATGAAAACTTTATATGTATACATAGTATTGTCGACAGTTGAAAGATTAATTAATCCCAGTAACATTTTATCGATACTAAGTTATATGTATTATATCTACATATTTGAAATCTGTAAAATTTGTTTAAACTATATTTGTGACTTTGATAAAACATGCTTCATAAAGTATCTAGGTTACTGGATTATATTAAAAGGGTAATCTTTCGATTGGTTTTATACTAAGAAATATCGTCTAAATTAACTATAATTAACAATGAGAAAAATATTTCTAGGAATTAAATTATATTTCTAGGGTTCTTTCTGTCTTATCCAAAACAAAACTAGCCAAAATTCACCATCGTTTCCATTTTGTCTTGTAGTATTTTTTATAATAACCTAAAATTCACCATCTTTTCCATTTCGTCTTGTAATATTTTTTATACCGAAAGTTGACTAATGTGTAAAAAAATATACTTATTAACTGAATTGAGAATGTGGAGTTAGGTATAGTAAGTCGTCAAAAGTTTAGAAAAGTATTGAAGACGAAAAAAAGAATAAATAATTTGAGTACCTAAGCAAATCAAAAGAAGGGAAAGAATAAAGGACAAAGAAAGATCATTAAAGCTATTTCTAGAGGATCAAAAGCTGTTCGTGAACACATTTTTGAAAATTAGTGACATAGGTGTCATCCCAGTAGAAAACCTTCTTTTGTAAAGTACACAAAATTGTGGTCACGATGTTATTCCTGAAGAGGCTTGATATAATCTGTGCATCAGAGGCAGTTTCAGAACCTACCTCGGTTACATTATTTATCAAAATATTTGTTTCTTTGGAGTCATATTAACGTTTGGAAAATATACGCAATTACAATATAATAAATAATTGTATTTTTTTAAATATTATTTAAGACACTATCATCCAGTTGCACGAACGCGCATTAAAATTATCTTGAGGATAAAATTACATTACCGATACAGTTCTTTAACTTCATTAAACCTTAATGGACGTTTGTGCAACATAAAAATCAGTAGACAAATTTCATGCGTGAGCCTAATGACTTATTTTGAGTACGAATTGCGAGCGATTTCTGTGGATTCATTTCATTGTTCTGTAACCTAATAACCAATGGCCTGAAACTGGTCGGAGAGCGGCAGAAAAGTGTAGCTCCATTTCATATTAATAATGAATTGATGTCCATTCATTATTTATGCCAAGAAAAGATTTGACTCACAAACTAAGTGACCATCAGAGCTTTCCAGGCACAAAAAATATCCCAATCATTTTACCATTAGATCTAATAAAAGGTCAATAAAGTGAATACAATTTACGTCTAACATGCTGAGGTCATTTGAAACTTATTTTCAATTATAACTACATATATAGGTAGGTAGATGTATCGTCGATACTTATATAAATATATATTTAACAACATCATATACATTGCTCAGATTCCAAGTAGAGTAGCTAAAGCCCCCGTATTATGGAGTATCTGAGACAACAAGGTACCACAACACCCAGACCCGAGTCGATATAGAAAAGTTCATTTTCTACATTGACCCGACCGGGAATCGAACCCGGGACGATGGCGACACCTTGAAACCGTCGTGCAAACCATGATGATGATGATGATGATGAATAATGGCTAACATAAGATTAATGTGAATAACTTTCATAATAGATTTCTTAACGTATTGTTACCGAACTTTTCAGTTTCTTTAATTGTGTTTGAGTTTTTAAATATATCATTATTATTTTTTATGGAAAATGCTTAAAAATCCACCTTGTCCCTAGTACTCTGAGATGGGGGTACCATCTTAAGCCTTTTTCATTTAAAATATTTTCCAGTATTACATTGTATTCACAACGTTGATCAAATATAATATCATAATTAAGCTTATTGTAAATAAATCTTTCATCTTCTTAAATAAACCCTTTTCTACTTAACACTCGGCTTCATATAGAATTGAAACGTTTAAGTAAACGTTAGAATATTTGGTTACGAAATTATTACATCAGAGGCATTAAATTCATAACGTATAAGTCAAGTCCATGTTTTTCTTGTAAATTAGAATTCAAAGTTGTTGTGGTTGCGTTTGATGTAAAATAATACACTAGGGGCTCTAATCGCAGCATGTGGAACTCCGGCACAAGTGGGAAACGAGAATTGTGGCCTTCACGGAGATTCAGCGGTTTCAACAGTGACGGTTACCTAAAACGAAACTTCGATGAGATTGACTTGTAAGTAATTTATAAATGCTTTTGATGTGGAACGTCATAGTTACGCATATTAGCCTTCGCATTTGAGAATTATAAAATAATATCCAACAAATAAAGATTCTCGCTCGTTCTTCTCATCAGCCAAGATCTGAATAAGTGATATGGAAAGAATGCTGTAAGATTCTAGAATACTTTTAAGAAGTCTATTTTAATAAAGATTATATTGTCAATTTTTTTACTTTAACTTTTTTTTTACACGAAATATTACGCTATAATACGAGATACATAAAACATCATAAAGAAAAACGTATTGAAACCAATTTAAAACACTAACACCATTTCGAGTGAGAATAACGTAAACATGATATCCCGACCTTAAAAATTAATTGTTAGGGTATACAAAAAAATAACACTTTGTAATTAGAAGGATGGTTAAAAGAATTTTAAAAAAGTTTTCAAGTCGGGCGATAATTAGTTTCGTCATAAGTACTTTCATTTTAATATTAACCACCCGACTTCAAAAAAGTTTCTTGAATTGGTTTACCGCCCTTAGCGGTCATTAACGACCCTTAACCGCCAATAAATGTCTATTTACAAAAAAGTCAGTAAAATATAGCCATTTTTATTACGGAGTAAGTAAAATAAGTTTATCCTCATTTTCTGATATGTAACTACATTTTACTGCAACATTGACAAACTTAAGTAGGTAATAAATTTAAAAAACTTCATAGAATAATTTTCGCCAAGTATCAAACCCAACGTCAAATACTTCTTGTCCTACTTCTCCAAATCGGTGAAAATTAGACCTCATTACTTATTCAACTGCGCTGTAAGCAAATGTCTCTCTATGAATTTTTAAATCAATTCTCAATTAAGAACACATCGTTGTAAATATACCGTCTTTTGCGATCTTATTTTAAAACAAAAGTTGACTTAATCTAAATAAAATATGAGTGTAATGAATGTATTTGACGAGCGTTATAAAATTTACCAGAACTAAAATTGTAATTAATTTTTCGGTTTTTTTCTGATGACAACCTGAAAAATAACAAGATAAATTTAAATTATTGTTGCATGAATATAAAGTTCCATTACCAGCAAGTAACGTAGGATGTTTATACTTCTTTTAATTTCTCTATAGGTAGATAAATTCATCATCAGCTTGAAAAACAACAGCGTTTTTGGAAAATATATGTTGCCCAAAGTAACTCTATCACGCGGACGAAGTCGCGGGCAAAAGCTAGTTATACTATAAATATAAATGTATTATTCCTAAAACTAAATACACAAGAAAACCATTCGAAATTTTAATAATAATCTATGTATAGATGCTTAGAAGGTACTTATAATTGTAACCATGGAAACGAATACAATGTATCTTAAACAAATGCACACAAAATTCATCAACCCCATTTGATTTAAATAAGATTTATAATTTCGCGATCCGGGTGACTACTCCAACCAATTACTGCCAAAGAACTTACAAGACTGATTTTCTCAAGCACTTATCTCTTTTGCTACCAATATTATTTAATTCTGAGCTTATCACGGTTTTCAATTGTAAGAAATTACTAATCACTATATCGCCAACAGATCAGGACTAAACAACTTCGCGCGCAAGAGGAACTTCGACGAGATCGATCACACTTGGTTATCGTTTCCTCATGACAAGCGGTCTTACCAAGGAACCAACATCATGGACACAGCACTGTAAGGAATCAAAATACTAATCTAACAGTTTTTAGTGGAAACCTTGACAGTGCTATTAATAAACAAGGTACAATAGGTACAATAAACAAATCACAGTAAATTTATGATAAAATTGCAATTTTAGTATTAGTCCAAATTCATATTATACATAGAATAAGCAAACCTTCTAAGAGTAAATATTACTCCAGTAGAACCTCGTACTTGGTTAACCTTTGCTAAGTCTCTGTCTAATAATAGGAAATTTAACTAATACTAAATGCAGTCTCAACGTTAATTTACTCTAACGCTAAACCTTGTTTATTGAATACACTGCAAAAGTCAGCGATCGGTTATATTCTCAGCCTATTGAGATCTTACTGCTGATGCATAGGCCTTCTGCGTAAAAGTAAACTCAACTAGAACAAGCTATCACCCACTATCAAATATTTGGTCCTATCCCTTAGAGTTGTAAAAATCTTGTAGTAATCATAAGTAATCAATCACCAAGAAGTACATATGTTCTTACTAATTTACTTGAATGTAGATTATTTTTAAAATTAACTATAATTGTGTTGCTTGCTAAAGTATATACCGAGCCAGAAATGTTTACTGTAAAATATAAAATAGAATTCAACCATAAGTAATCTAGTGAGTCATATACATTTTCAACTGAATTTCCAAGCTCCCAACAAAATGTTTTATTCCATGTAATCTAAAAAATATTCATACTAATCGAAATCCGCATTTGATGTTCTAAATTACTATATAGTGGTAGGTGTTGTTGTGTAATAAAAATCAGTAAAAAAAACACTTCGTAGAAATTTTGCTACGTTGACTATAGCCTAGTAAAGTAAGCAGGAAGAAACAAAAAAGAAAAGACATTTGTTAGAAACAAAATCATAGAATTTGGGACAGGGTCGGATCTCAACGGAGCTAATATCAGTCAGTTTAATATTTTACAAAGTAAGGCAAATGAAATATTGAATTAGTATATATAGTATTCGAATAATATTACTCAGCGTAAGGCTGAGCCCGTATTGCGACGGTTACCGAAAACTATGGGTTATTATTACAAACTACGTTTCAGACTTGCGTATTTTATTTTTAATGGCAGTGCGTTTTGAGCCTAAGATATTATGAATATTACAAACGTTAACGTATTTACTTTACAATAGAGGTAAATTTTCTAATTTGATTTGATCTACTTGATCAAACAACTAAACATTTTTTAATGGTAAATTAAAAAATAATTAAGTATACCTATAGTATTGATTATTGTTTTGCAATTTGTTTCATTTAGCATATATAATGAAACGATCAATATGTTACCCAATAACAAATCAATCGATACCATAGCAATGAGATCTTTCATGCCATTATGTTATTACAATAATTTGTCACATACAAAACCATTAATCAATAACTAATGTAAGGTACTGTCACTTAATAAGACCCAATCTGGTCGCTGGCTCATAAACTAAAATAGGTGTGAATTAGGAACAATTATTAATCAATCGATCTGCGCCAAAAATCAGACTTATTTTAGTTGGTTTTTTTCACTTCAGCCTCAGTGGTAATTTAATACTAGTCGCATTAAAACTTTGTCTTTAATATTACCAGTAGGTAATAAAGAATATTTTTACCATGTATTTGAAATTGTAAAAAAAAAAAACTAATTGTAAAAACTATGTATCGTAACTTTTTTCATCCATAGACTACTTCAGGCCTATATACTACTAATGTTTAGGGTTATGTGCTTTACCTATGGACGTTATTCAGATTTAGAATAAAAATATAATTTTCACTAAGATCCTATATTTTATCTGCACATTATCATACTATTTAGCTTAATTACAAATTAACTCTTTATATGAGCAGTCTTAAGTAGGAAAATATAATGGTTTTTGAGAAAATAAAATTTATAAATAAAGTTTCATTTTGTCCACAGACACAAACATTGAATGAACCTTTAGACAAGACAGAATGTGACTTTGCATAAAAATGTACCTGTGGCACACCATTTAAATATAATAAAACTTTAATGTAGATCAAATATTAAGATACATAACACTTTCAGAAGTTAAGTTTTTTAACATATTTTAACTCAGCATATAAATCTTTAGAAAAATAAAATAAATTTAAAATTTATAGTCTGTTCATGAGACAATAAAATTAGCAAATTAATCTAAGTCCACATGCATACGTGGAGCTCTTTTTAAGCATTCATAGAACTGAATCTCTTAATTCTCTTCAATTACCCTCTTCACATCCTTCCTAAAAGATCTAATGTCTGTGTCACTAATATCATTGTTTTGTTTATTTAATAATTTTTGAAAATTGTAGACTTTAAGATTTTGTATTTCTCGACAATTTTATGAATCGAAACTCTCGTTTTGACTTCTTTCACTGCATCTATGAGAGCCTCTGAACATATTTTATCGCGATTCACTCCAGTTTTGCTACGAGGCACTTGAAAACAAATAAATTATACAATCAGAGTACGTGCCTATATCTACCTAAAGTTCAATATTATTAGTGCAATGTCTTGCTCAACGATCAATAGTGACAGATATATACTATATATATATTGGACTTCGGGTTGATAGTACAAGGGCAAAATGCAAGTAGTTGAGGTTCTATCGAGATGATTACATAAACATTAGCTCAATTAGCCTACTTATCAAATAACAAATGTCTAGACAGCCGTCTGAAAATAGAAAGAAAAAACTTGAAACGCGTCAAACAAAAATCATCTAGTAACATGTTAAAGTCGTCGTTTCGCATTTAAGAAAAAAAATATTCCTAAAAATGATTTTATATTTAAAGTGTCCGAAGTGAATAATATTTTTTTAAATCAATAATAAAGTCGGAATAAAAGGCTATTAACGCACCGCTTAAAATTGAAACACACGATATGATCAGTAGTCACATGGTAGATTTAACTTTAGCGAAAAAGTTGACAAATGTCGTAGAGATTTAAATATAATACACCTAATATCATTTTTTTTCCTTCTCTATCGCTTTTAACTGACACCTCGGCCTTTTTTATGAAAAAATGATTCAAAAATTTCGCTAGAGGAGGGTTAAATTTAATGATTTTTTTAAAGAACCACAATTCAAACACTTGTTATATTCCACGCTAATCAATGCGCAATATTCACTTTTGTATATTTTTTTAATTTAATCTTAGTTTATAAATCTCATTTACTATTAAAAGCTGATAAGTTTCTTACTTTCTTTTTTTAGCAGCCAAATGATGTTCAATATGGAGAATCGGTAAAAATGTGGATAAATAATGCTTTTAATATAAACTTATTAAAATAAAGAAAATATTAATTTATATTAATAACTAGCTGTGCCCGCGACTTCGTCTGCGTGGGAAGTATTTTGGTAAAATTATTTTTTTCCTATGAATGCAGACGAATCGAATAAGATCAATAGGCCATAACCCACTACGCGGGCTTAATGCGGATCGGTGGGCGTTAACGTTGCCAATGCAGCCAAGACTAACGGCTTAATGTGCATTATACAAGTGTTTTGCACAGTGCTCAAGATAATAATGTTTTGGTCACTCATCCTGTAACGGTTTTGGTCACGGTCCTTACGAATGTTATTTTTCTATATTCTTCTCGTTTCTCGCGCTCTGGTTGTCGCTTGTGTCTGAGCATTTTATTCGTACCTTTCAACGGTCCTTCTTTTGTTTTTGATCTTTTTAAATTATTATTATTTGTCTGCAAAATCGGCTATTCATTGTTCTATTTTCCATGTAATGCTAGGTTGGCTGGAAGAAATCGCTGGCTAGCGTTGAGTTTGTCGTTTATACTTATTTATGTAAAATAATTTATGTAACCGAATGCGCTAACCCACTACGCCATCGGACCCCTTATACCTAAGCTATACTAATATTATAAAGAGGAAAGATTTGGTTGTTTGTTTGTTTGCATCGAATTTGCTCCAATACTACTGGACCGATAGTTGCAGAACGATTCCGACCTACGGGAAGTTACATCAGACGCGCATGTCATAGACTATAATTTTGCGATAAAAGTCAGTCAGTACATGTCTGACGGAAGATACGTGGAGTTATATTTATTAATATAAAAAAATATATATACATATTTTAATTTCGGCTTTCCACAGTCGAAGGAAATCGTCTACTAACATACTTCCGTGAGGTGCTTAACTGAACTTCTGTCAGATTTGAACGGCCCTTCTCATCATCATCATCATCATCATCATCAGCCCTTTTACGTCACCAACTGCAAGAGCTCAGGCCTTCCTTATGGATGTTTAAAGAGGATGGGCCACTGCCGTCCATGCTGGCCCAATGTGGATTGGAGGAAATTAACGACTGAAAATACAACTGGTACCAATCGCTTTACGTGCTTTCAGAAGCTTGGAGTTGCTTGAGATAATATTTTTTGGTCATCCATCCTGTGCCCGACCTTTGCGAAAGTTGCTTAACAACTACAATCGCGGGCCATGGCGCTTATTCACTACGCCACCGAGCTACTCTGAACCGACCCTCAGACTTGCGTAATATTATATGAGTGTTGTGACCAATGAATAAAGCATTGTTTCCAGCGAAGACTGAAAATACCAACTTTGAAGTACTCTACAGTAATTTGTATGTTAAAAAAAAAACAAAAAGAGTATTAATATAAAAAATAGCAATAAGAGAAAAATATATATATATAACTCGAGTTGTCTTTACGTTCTTAACTTCAGTTGACGTGAATCTAAGTTTTTTAACGTCGTGGAAAAACTTCTGACATTGTCTCTGTTACCTGGCAAGCAACAGGGGTGAGTAGGATTCTCCTCCGTGAACCCAACAGTGAGCTGCCCGGTGGGTCCCCAGCGGCCTAGCCACCAAAACCCGTAATCTACACCCTCTCATGGGAAATGAAAACCGGCAAGCTATGGCCGAGTCACCAGGACACTCAAGTATTGGACCATTGGTCCTCTTGCAGATGGAAAATTGGAGGGACTCGGGTAAATCGAGTGCCTCTCCCAGACAGACGAAACCGTGCAAAGCGGAAGCAGCTGCCAACCACCTCCGCTGGCCCCGACGACGACGTGAACCTAATCTGATAAAAATATGCGTTCACTGTAAACTACTCGAGGCTTAAATGTATCATCAGAAGGCTCTATCCGCTTGTTCTCCTACTCGCATGTTCGTATACCACATGTCCATTATAAGCTGAACCCTAAAATGATTGGCCATATATAAATGAGGTCAACTTACCGGATTTGTTGTAAATTTTGGAATCTTATTTTTTTATTTGTCATCATACAAATTATCATTTTATAGACAATATTAATTCATAGCTCACTGGCGCTACGGATATGCGCCGCTGCGCACGATCGTTATTGCTAAGCAATTTTCGCAAGAGTTGTTCACGGGATGGGTGACCAAAAATTATTAAACAAAGGCCTGAGGCCCTGCAGTTTGACTGTCAAAGAGTTAATGATGATGATCAATATATCAAAGACAAAAATTTAATAAAATAGTAAATATTTCATAGCAATTTAGGCGACCACGTCACTTCAAATTGACATAACTTTTTTATTTGTGAACCGATTGAAATAAATCTTACACTAAATGTTAACGGAAGAATGCCGCAATATAATAGTGAAACTGCATTTAAATCGGTTCAGCCGTTTCTGAGATTATCGTGCACAAACGCACAGACAAACAGACAAACCGACAAACAGACAAACAGACAAAAATTTTAAAAATCATTGTTTTGTGTTCTATTACTCTTATTAATGTCCCTCATAACATTTTTTTTCATATATCTTCAATGTACAGACATCGATCGTTTACGTTTTTATTATAGTATAGATAATGAAAATATTGATTTCTCATATTATTGGAACTGGTAACGTCAAAATCTGTTTTCATTTGTGACCTCATTTTACTAAGCTTTGTTCAACCACTGGAATAAGAACGTGAAATACGTATCTAATATTTAAGAGAGGAAATATACTCGGTTGTTGGATATATATTTAAAACGTTTACACCAGCATTGTGAACTGAAATAAGAGTTTATAGGACATATTAATTACTGTTTTAGATTGAAGATTCCAAGCAGAACCTAAATTTTAGTTTTTATTTCAACAAATAAATTTGCTTCTATGATATTATTAACTTTCTTATATCTTTTTTTGTAATCTGTATATATATAAACACAGAAATATTTTTTTAATTACATATTTTTATTATAGCACTATTGTATGTTTTGGAAATCAAGGGATTGGATAAATTTTGGACTATTTTCAAAGATAACAACTTCAAAACAATGTATATTTGGAATCCTTACAATAAGCCCAATCATTTCATATGTCGTATAAAATAGAGGTTATTAAACTTCTTTATTATTTTATAATCTTTCTCAGAAAGAGGCCGATATGTGTCAGGGTCACCGACTTACGTATATTTGACTTGTACTAACTTTCAATTGAATCGGGCCAGTAATCATTCAGAGGTAATCGACTGTTAGCCAGTTGCACAAACGTCCATTAAAATTTTCATTTTTTTTAAGCCTTTAACGTCATTAATTCTTAATTGACATTTGTGCAACTGGCTGTGAGACAGTCTGACAACCATATTACACTATGAGCGTTCTATTTTTCATTTCTTTTCATCTATTAAATTATGTATTAAATTTCCTTTTTTTACACAGATCGGGCCTCGATAAGAAAAGATACAAACCTGACTACCCCATGGACGAGATCGATCTATCATCATTTCCCATTGGCTCTAAAAGATCTCAACTTCTATTTCCAGCTCACTAGTCCTACCCTATTTCGAAAGAAGAATACATATTTACAATGGAAATCGCCAATACTCAAGACGTGATAACACTATTACCTCAAATATTACAATGTTGTATTACACATTGAATTTTGAAATTAATACTCAAATTTTAAACGAAAAATATAAAAAACTTCTAAAAGGATATTCCTGTATACAACCCAAATCACGATCAAAACTTTTATATATTCTAATGTGTTAGGGAACAAGTCAAATTGTTTATATGTTATTGTAAGTTTATATACAGTGTATTTTTACAAAGGGTTTATAGAAACTTACTCAATACAAAATAATGTAATTAAAATAAATATTATGTGATGCGAGACGCTGCTATTTTTAAATTATTTTGTGATGTAAAATATATTTAATTGACATGAAGAATTATCGTTTTATTATTATTAATTGATTCGCCATAATTAAAGTTTAATTTAAGTGTTATCAATAAATCACAGCGAGACATTGAGTTCAAATGTTGTATGACATTTGTACATTTTCTACTTGTAGTTATGATGTAGCAAGCTTCCAATTTTAATGCCTATTTTTGAAGCCATTTCATAGTCATGCAAAGTCATATTAAAGCATAAAAGTAGTAGTATCTAATATTTTTCTGTTATCTCACTAAACAAATTTTTTTTTTTTTACTCAGGCAACATTCCAATTGTAGTTATGTGGGTGAGCACAGCGGATAAGTGTTCATATACCTATTCATAAAAAAAAAGTGATCAATATCAGTTAAAATATTACCTTCCTTAGAAAATACTAATTATAGTCTCTGAATAATAAGTAAAACCTATTTGTTAAAAGGCGTGGTGAAAGTATGTAAAAACAATATTATGAATACGAGAAAAGAACATAAATAAGCGATAAATAAGAACAGAAACCGCCATTTTGTCTTATATTACAAACGATGCCGCTTTGACAGTTATTGCGAAAACGTAGGGAATTACGTTTTGAGGAATGTGCGAGTGCCAATACTTTCTAATGCACAGCTTAAATGTATATAATTAATACTCACGGCATTATTCACTAAAAATATTTTAGCATAATCACACTTTACATGATTGTTTTTTGGGATATTTTTCTTTTAGGTTTTTGGGATATTAAATATAATGTTCCTAGACATAAATTATGGTTATTAGTTATCGGCACAGTATAAGTTTATATAAAGAAGAGGTACAGAATGTTAATATTTTTATAGTAATGCTTAAACATGCATGAAATAAATAAATAAAAAAAAAAAAATTACACACGGTAGTGTAAAAACATCTTTGATATTGTTCAATATGTGAAGCAGAGTTTCGACAGTAGTACCACTAGTAGATATAAATATTCCTACTAAATCAATTGTTTACCTGCCCTGCGTTTCGGTAAAAATTTCGAAACTCACTTCACTTAATTCACCACGAAATGTTATTATCAATTCAAGGTTGAGCGAATGCCGCTTTTTGAAGTGAATTCGGACACCTGAGGGAATTCTAATTCGGGTTTGGATTTTTACATAATCACAGGGCTGATCTACGATAGTTAATGTCACTCCAATATCTTAACGACCACCAGCGACTAAATAGGGACAGTGACCGGGTAAAAAAAATGCAATTCTATTTAGTCCGTTAGTCAGATAATAGAAAAATACTAGATACGTATTTGTTTAACTTCAATTAAACAAGAATGGCTTAGATAACAGGCATTAAAGTTGAGGAGTGGGGGCTCGCTACGTCACAGTTTAGTAGAAAACCAGTGTTACCAACTCCCAACAAAAAACCCTAAAACCAAACTCAAATAACCCTAAATAGCCCTGAATGGTGTAATCAAAAGCCCCAAAAAAAGCCCTGTCCTACTTGTATTACTCACAGATTTAATGATATAGTTTAAAAAAAAAACTGTTTTATTAAGGTGATTAAAATAGTCAGTTATATACCTCAGTTTTATTTTCTAATATTTTTTTTGGTATTAATTACTTGAATCGCATTCAATTAATTTTGTTAATCTAAAAAAGGTTAAACTATTTGTCTTTTTTTAGATGAATAAAAACGCACTCTAATACACGACACTCTCCTGTCTTTTCTACTAGTTCACTAAGAAGAGAGGGGCCAAGCACATTTTGTATTATCATGGTACATTTTGTGCGAAATAGACTTAAATACTATGTTTTATGACTAAAACCAGTCCAAAAAAAAGTAATAAACCATGACACGAAAATAAAACTACAGAAAATGCAAATAGATTAAAAAATGTCATATTGAAGCCATAGCAATATTACTACATAGGTAGCCTGCAGACATACACACACGTCCAGCTAAACATTTGCTTCTATATAATGAACAATTGGTATCTGTTTTGTCAAATAATTTAATGTTTCATCCATTGTCGAATTCGAAGAGAAAATAAAGTTCTTTTGTATGTCGTAAACAATGTTGGTTAATCTATTTTAAACCAAATAAAAAGATTTAATGGGTAATTTAGACATAACCTGATTTTTTTATTATTAATTTATTTAATTTTTTTAGCACTAAAATTAGCCCTAAATTTTCTTGAGCCCTAAAAAAAGCCCAATCAGTTTATTTCCGCCCTAAATTTGGGGCTAAAAGCCCTAAGTTGGTAAGCTTGTAGAAAACGTACCATAACGTGACGTCATGCGAAATTTCAACTCTATGTAACGCCGTATTTTTTTGATTACGAAAAAAATAAAAAAATACGTGTTTAATATTTTTAACACTCTACCTGACGGACAAACAAACAAAAATAAGTCGTCATCCCTATTGTTGATGCAACGCTGAAATGAACATGAGCATATTATCTATGATTCATTTAGATGCTATAGAAGTTATTTTCCGTAACTACCCAGAATACAGTCTTCTTTACAACTAGTGTCACAACTATTGCAATTGCCGCTCTATAAACAAACTCTATTTACATTAGCTTATAGTAGAATACAAAGAGTAAGTTATCTTCATACATACGCACCGAAAATGGTTTGTATGTGAGTGCCCCATGCATATGATGCTTACAAAATTTAACAATGTTAAAGGCATGAGCGGCAACTCGCTAGTCGTAGCTAGTACCTTATAACCTCATACCACTTTTACTTCTAAAGTTGCAAAGGCGCCAGCTTTGTAAATCTAATATTATTTAAAATATAGCGACGAACACAGCGCTGACGCAGTTTAATCAAATAAAACCTTAATAACCTTTCGGAGGCGATTTTATTTTATTGAACCTCTGATCCTGCAACAGCACTGTGTTCAAAGCTGTATTTTTAATGGAATAAAACTTTTTATAAAACATAATTTTGAGAACCAACGATGCAGGTCTTTCATAAGTACAATACAATTCAGTTTGCAATCCAAACATTGTTTCAAATTTTAAGGGGATTAAGTACTTGCATCCAGTTCTCGAACCTTGTACGTAATTTAAAAGTATATTTATATGGATAAATAACCGGCCTAACGTGCCTTGCGATGCACGGAAGCTTGCGTAGCTCGAGATAATCAATTTTTGGTCACCCATTCCGTGATCGACCCTTGGAAAGTTGCTTAACGAGCTTATCACGAGCCGTAGCGCTTATCCACAACTCCACTGCTGTCTTGAATCATAAGTCTATGATAAAAAAGTTTTTTGAATATTTCCATCACAAACACTTGGATGTGACCTACATATTGCAAACTTTGTTTTCTTTATCACGACACACTTTTTGTGCACAAAAATAAATATTCCAATGTACAGGGATAAAAGTTCTTTATGTTATTTTTAAGATTTTACAAAAATGTTCAGGATGACGATTAAAAAAGTTTACACATGACTAAAAATACTGTTTCTAGGTTTAGAATTCTAAAGTGAACTCATTGAACCCTGATTATATTGTTAAACGCCTATAAAAACTAAGGCTTGCAACTGCTTTCTTAATTAAAAGTACAATATCTAAACTGAATATTCTTAATAAAGTTTTTTACGTTTTACAAATCATTAAGTACTGATTTCATGTAACTCCTATCAACTGATCATTAAAAAACTAAAATCAGAAAGGTAAACCTGTTTTAATAACGTCAAAGTAAAGTATGAGACATTTTTGAATTTCCATTTTCATTTCAGAAACCGAGCGTAAATGTTTAAATATCTACTTGGTTATAAATAAGATGATGGAACTTATAACAAACTTTTAACGCTAGAGGTTTTCTAGGCTGTTTGGACGTTAATGTGATAACCGACTGGCAGGAGCCCAACTCAGTGGTAGGATAGGATGTGGGTGCAAAACAAAATAGTTCCGAGTTAGCATAAAAGAAATATAAGACAAAATCAATACATTTCAGTTCCTTAAGTAGTTTAAACCCTTGTATTATTAACATCTAAAACAAAGAAGGTACCACAACATTTAGATCAGAAACAATATAGATTTAGTGAAATCCATGTTCTTATTATTTAGTGTTTAAAAAGATAACAATCAGGCTAATAATGTAATATTAAAATTTATCGCTCATTTCAACAGCACAGCTTATATCACAATATACCGAAATATAAGTCATTCGCTACTCTAATTTATTTAAAAATACCGCTTTTTTGTACTTTATTTATAACTCAAATAAATAATATATTAAAACTCTTTTAATGTGTATTTCATATTATACAGTAGTAGTAACGTTAATTACACCCTTGTTATTATTTTAAGGTACGTTTATATTACGTCAGACAATGTAAAACTGTCAAATTTCTATTCAAAGAATAGAATAGGGTAGAATTTAAAATCAGTTGCGGAAATTTTACATATTGTTGTAAACCTGACGTGCAGCCGTGTGTACTAATGTACAGTTTATAGGTATTTGATTTAAATTACAATTGCAAACTGCAACACGTGTGAAATTTTCACTTGAAAACTCGAATATGACTCGAGTGAGGTAGATATATCCATGGCATTGTTAGAGGCGGACACAGCTTTCTTTAGAAGCTCTCGCCATCTCTCCCTGTTTACACACTGCCTAGCGCAGTCTGACACCCTGTAGCCCACAGCGATTTCACTTGATCAGTCCAGTCCAGTCCAGTCGCATGGGTGATCTGCTGCGTGTTCTAGTTCCCTCTGCTTTTCCTTCCACAACCATCCAATAGAGCTATTGAGTTGTTATCACGTCTAGAGACATGGCCAAAGTATTGCGCTATACACGTCTGTACTACAAAGGATAAAAGCTTTGTGATGCCGAGAGTTCGTGCAATATGGACACATTGGTACGAAACTAGGAGATAGCGACTTCTTAAAAACAGAGTATGAGCCATAATGAGGAGGATAATATATTGTTTTAATTAATAGAAGAAACGAAGACTGTAACAAAAAATATACTGTATTTAAAAAATAAATAAAAACTGTAATAAAAAATACACTGTATTTTTAAAAATACAGTTACATTTACACAGTTTATTACAGACACATTCTTACATTTATACAGATTAAAAAAACAGTGTACTTTTTGTTACGATAAAAGAAAATTTTACGTAGTAGTTAAGTAATACTGTAGTTTTTTTTAATAGAACCGACTCGAAACTTTAAAAAAGCGATAAGTAATACTGTCACAAAAGTGAATTATTCAAAAAAATGCTAAATATTAAAGTTAAATAAAGATTTAAAAAAGTATAACATATCGTTTTAATAACGTGATGAAAAACGTATTTTGTTTTGTCATAAAAGAAAAGCTATTGATTCGATATCGATAAAATTTAAATGGGACTATCGCAGTAAATTCTTTGTTTATTCGATAGCTAATAAACAAAGAATTTTGAAATACGATCAACAATTGGCGGAATAATC